TGCGATCATTTTTAGTTCACAAAATATAAAACACGCAGAAAATATGTCAGCTATAATGTGACATAAAAACATTAACGTTTTAAACAAAAAAAATCTTCAATCGTAAAAAAATAACTTACGCAAAATATAAACTGTACAAATCTACCCCCTTCTTCGCAAAATTTCAAACACGCGAAAAAAAAAACCCGGATATACGGTAGTCTGAACCGTTTTGTATATTTTGCAGCATATTTCTTCCTTACAGCAATGAAAAGATAATTCTAAGTCTTTACATTACTTTTTAAATAAAGAGTTTTATGTTTAAAATAGTTATATATGATAAGTGTCTCAAAGTGGCCCCTTAAATGAATCTTCTTTTTTACTTTATATGTAGCTTAACTTTGCACAGCTATGCGTGTGACTTTAATGGGTCATTTTGAATTTGATCAAAATGCTGTTAATTTAGAAATATGACATCATAAAGTTCCCGTTTCCCCGCAATTTTAGTATATTTTGTATAAAACTGTTCATTTTCGAGCAATTTTTCTGTCAGAATATATTAAGCGCAGACTAGAACAAACTTTATATTTTTACTAAAGATGTATCTATCCAATACTAATTACTGACAGAAAATTTATGCATGTTCTACACTGCGCTCTATGTTTCCCATAAGAAAAAAAGAACATCTAGAAAAAGGCATATTTTTGTTTTGTTTTGTTTTTGGTTAAATAGGAAAAATTGCATTATTTCTGATGTCATTTACAGCCAATAAGTGCATATAAATGTGAAAAATGTATGTGAAATATTTCTGATATAATTTCTTCTAATGAATAATTATCAATTAAACATATCTGAGTTTCATTCTAAAATGTTGATCTTTAGGGGGCCAAAATAGGCTTTTATCGTATAAAGTCTAAAAAAAAAAATCCACATTCAATGTATATGGCCTCATATTTAATTCACTTTTCATCCATATCTTTTTAGAAGCTACGCGTGTTTAAGAGGCAATAAGTAATCTTAACATAATATTGTTATGATATTAATTTTGATTTAATATGAATTTTCGAATTGTTTTCAGTTATACATTGCAGATTGTCCTGAATCATGGGAAAATTATGGAAACAATAAATATTGCTTTGTGAAAATTGGACATGAATGGACAAATGCCAAGATATGAAATTTAACAATTAAAGGGACAAATACTTCTTAGACCTTTTGTACTATTAGGCTGAGTGAATAGGCCTGAACTACCACCTTTCAAACTTTGGATATGTAAATTATCAGGATCAACGTTGACAATTTTAAACGTCAGGTGATAAACAATTTTAGTTTCCTTGCATAAGATTCTATGTTGCATAATGTATCCTTTTAAGATTTTATTGTATATTACTCATATCATACGTCACCAAAAACCCACGAAGGGCTTCAAATTTTTACTTATTCTAGTCCAAAATATCTGAAGTTTTCCAAGCTTTTTTCATATCTAACGTCTTGGCACGAAACATGTGTATCAAATTCGTAAAAAAGCCGGGAAAACTACAGACTTTTTGGACTGTACCTATACCTAAAAAAAACAAGATGTGTTTGTGAAACACTTTGCGCCCGGCGGTAACAAATTTCAAAAAAACTTTTTTAGCATATAGGTCACAGTCAGAGTAACAATGTCATCGATCTTAATGTCATTTGAAAGAACTTTATCAGTGGAGTATGCATACCAAATATGAAGTCTCCATCTCCTTTGATTCAAAAGTTATGGTGAAAGTTCGAAAAAGCTATTTTTAGCATTAAGGTCAAAGTCAAGGTCAATGACCTTGATGCATTTGAAAGAACTTTATCAGTGGAGTATGCATACGAAAGACGTAGTCTGCATCTCCTATGGTTCAAAAATTATGGCGAAAGTTCGAAAAAGCTATTTTTAGCATTAAGGTCACAGTCAAGGTCACAAGGTCATTGACCTTGGCGTTATTTGTGTGAGGTTAATGAAAAGAGTCAGTGAAGCATGCATACCAAATATGAAGTCTCTATCTCTGATGGTTCAAAAGTTATGGAAAAAATTCGAAAAAGCTATTTTTAGCTTGTAGGTCACAGTCAAGGTAACAAGGTCATTGTCTATCGATCCGGGCGCATAAAAAGGCAAATGGTTATCGTGCTAATGCATTTACTGACGCGGGACCTCGACTTTTAGTCATATCTGAAAGCGCGTGTTCTTTATTTTTCTTCTTACTATGTTATAGGTTTGACGCGTTACTGGGTAAGCGTATCGAACTCAATATCCAGATCAGGAAGCAAGCTCCCATCTTACTGTTTACATGCTCTGTATTGTGTGTATTTTACAAATGGAATGCTGGAGCGATTTTGTTTGATTCGAAACATTGTATCAATTTTTTTGCGACCGATCTGTAGGAAAATACAGACACATTATGAAGTATCGTATCGACAAAAATGTGTATTTTAGAATGGCCTTTCAGAATTGAATTCATGAAAAGGTCTTTTGAAAATATATTTCAAAAAATATATTTTGGCATCTGTCTTTAAATATAAATCCCGAAGTACTTGCTTGTAGGATAAGAATGGTTTTAAATATCAATCCTGGAGTAATGTTTTATACGAATAAAAGTAAATTCATCTTCATTTTAAGATAGCTGCATTTCGATGGGAGCACATCTTCTGGCAATAGAAAATGAGTCTTAACAAACCTGGATTAATGAAAGAAGCTAGACTTTCTTTTACTTTTAATCATTTTTATACCATCTTATCAAAACATTGGTCTTAAAATGTTTTCAATAATTTTCTTTGTAATATAAATTTCATACGTTACATTTGTAGCTAATTAACTTGATGTAAAATACAATGTTTGATATTCTCTTTGAAAAAACAAACATTTTATCAACCCATTGCACAATTAGAAATGCTTTTTATCTATCAGGTTTATACTTATCTAAGACAGAGAAAACTGTCTAATCCGACATATGTCCAATCCGTTACACTGTGAATTCCGACCGTAAAAATCTTTCCCATTTTACTAATTTCCAATTTTTTTTCACACTATTCAATCTCACACCCTGTTTTTTTTTTTCGACAGTGTATGTCAGACTAGACAGGTTTTATTGTAAAAAATTTCAGCTTCTTCGGATTCATGGTGGATTGGTGGGACAGATGCCGAATCAGAGGGAACGTTTTATTGGAAGCACTCTCATGACACGGTGAACTTTACTTACTGGAGTACTAATCAAAGCCAACCAGAAGGGACCACGTTGGCATGACTACCCATGCAGTATAGTTTGCTACTATATTTCTGAAAAATAACTTTAATTGTTGATTGGTTGTAAAGAATGTAGCTGAAAACTACACTCAACTAATCTTGCACACATGTATACATCATGATTATTTAATTTTATGTTTGTTTTTTTTTTCAGTATTGATGACTTTTGTAAATTTATGACTCCATTACGATCAACATTGGAGAAGAGTAGCTTACTGTGAAATAACTCATTTTCATGATCATTTGGATGTACCTTTTCGTGGTTTTCAAGGTATGATGAGACCCAGGAGAATTATATCTCGAAATGCAATTTTTCATATTCTGTGATATCAAAATTTTTCGTGGGGGTTAATTTTCGTTGTTTGAGCACACGGCGGGTATGACCAGTCAGCAGGGGATACTAACTCGTCCATGGCATTCGATCCCACCTCTGATGTTTCGGATGTCCGTGTTTGCTCTGCAATTTTTAAGTGTATGGACTTTGATATTGAATATTGTTCGTTATCTTCATATCCTTCTTTTGAAGTATCAAAGGACCCACGAATTTATGGCCACCGGGAAATGTAAAATGTCCCATGCAGAACTACTCAACAATAAATCATTTACGAAATTAAATCCCCATGAATCAAGAGTTTCTTTAAATTTGACCCCACAAAAATATGTCAGCCTACAGTATATTATATTTGAACAATTCTACAACCACGAAATCAAATCCCCATGAACCAATATATTTTCCTCAAAACGCGAAAATTTGATCTCTTGAAAATCTGCGATTTTACAGTAAATTAAAAGTATTAATAAGAGTCATGCATCTTCGCTTTATCCTTGTTTATATTTTTGAAGTTTTACACACAATCATCTGATGTTGCATACATGTATGTATTATTTCCGTGTATTTTATTTTTGAATTCTCAGTATATTGCTGGCCTTTGTGTACTGTAGAAGTACTTTTTACCGCGTGGTATTAATTTACGCTATCTACGCGGTCACAAATTTTCCGCGGAAATTTGTCCAAGCGTACTTCATATAAATGCAAGGCATATAGTGACAGTTTGAGAAATCCGCGTAATTTTCTACCTGCGGATTAAATAGATATTGAGATTCCGCGGAATTATGACCCCGTGGAAAAAAGTACGTATACAGTATTTATAACTTCACTATGATCTAATAGATGACATCTTATTTTAACAGTATTGATATGAGCAGAAACAAATATAGAATGAGTCATGTATCTTTGGTTTATCCTGTCTCATATTTTTTTATGTTTATACATAATCTTCTCGGTGTTTACAAATGAGTTAACCCAAAGCGTCTGAATTGTTAAGATCAAATCTAATCAAAATTCATTTTGCCTATCTTTTACTCTCCATACACCCTAACAAAAATAGTACTATATATTTGATCATAATTTGCACAAAATTATCAAAAATTTAGAAAAGTATCAAACTTTTTACCGGGTATGATAAATCAAGGTTTCTCAAAAGTTGATCGATTATATTTCAAACATATATTCCCTTGAAAATGACTATTAAATGTATTTATTTTTCTAATGAAATGGAAATCATTGTTCTTGTTTACTATATATCTGAAGTTCAAGTTGATTGATTCTTCAAATTGATATATCTATATTAACTTATTACTTTTAATACCATTCAATAATCGATACTTCCGGTGAACAATTAAAAGTGGAACGTATAATTTTCTTTCGTGTGCAGAGTAGGAAAGGCTATACTCTGTGCAGTGTATCTGTACAGATAATATGGTAATGATAAATATACGTTTGATTTTTGTTGCAACATTTGTTACTGAATACTTAGAGACTGATGCTGAGTATTCTATGCTGGAGTGGACATACGCTAAAAAATACGCATTCGTCGGCACAAATTTCACCAATGAAATATCTGCGAGGAAGGCTATTACTGCAATTTTCTGTGCGAGCTTTTGTAGTAAAATAATGTCATGCACTGGATTCCTGTTCAGTAAAGATTTTCGAACTTGTCGTTTCTTGAGTAAATTTTTAACAGCTGCTAACAATTCACAGCTAACCAAGCAAAAATGGATCTACTTTGAGAGGAACAGTAAGTAACCACCTACTAATATAAATATCAAACAAAAGTAATATAACGTTAAATGAGTGATTTAATTAAATTTTTGTAACAGTGAAAGTTACTTAGTCCGCAGAAATGCCAACTCGCACATCTTTATCCTATATGTTATAGTGTGTAAGCCTTTAAAGAAAATATCGCTTCTTGATTGATTGTTTAAAGAGTCTTTGTCTCGTTAGTATAGCATGTCAGGGCATGAATGATAGTGGAAAACGTGGGATAATATGCATAACGGGAGAACTGTGAAAAAAAATTGTAGATTTAGATTTTATAAATGTAGACTAATGCCCTGTTCACACGGAGAGTTTAATTCGAATTAAACGTAAAGTTACTGCGAATTAGCTTCGCTTAGCGTTCACACGGAGAATTTAATGCGAATTAGTTTAATTCGAATTAGTTTACTGCGCATTAAATTACTTCGCATTAGCTCCGTGTTAACGCTAAGCGAAGCTAATTCGAATTAAATTTTGCTGCATGCGTAATGGCAAAATTAGGTAAAATGCCACATGCCCGTGGTCAGCTTGAAGTATTTGTGCTATTTTTGAGTGAAAAGCTAAGTAAAATTGTGTTAATCACTTAAATGTGTGTACAGACACTGTAACATTATGTCAAATGCATCTGCTCCTGCATAAGGTGATATGATTAGCAAATGACGTGACCATAATAGCTTTACTGACGCCTGGCCGTAGAAGTATAATTTTAATTCGCATTAGTTAACTTCGCATTAGCTGTCGTGTGAACGTAATATAATTCGCATCATTTTGATTCGCATTAATTTACTTCGCATTAATTTACTGCGAATTATACTCGTCGTGTGAACAGGGCATAAGAGTATTGAATTATACCCATGTACATGTAACTTCCATTAGTCCCCGCAAATTGAGGTCAAACACAAAGACAGCCACACGAGATTTACATGCATATTTGGTCTCTTTGAAGCATGACACAAAGGCAGATGCGGACGAGATTTACATGTGTATTAGGCCTCTTAAGCTCCTGACCTATCGATTTACATAATTTACATTCCGGTAGAATTATCAAGAAATCAACTCCGCTAACTTTTAAAGAGTTATCAGAGAGAAAAGATATAGAAATGGAAATTTGAGCAAAATGCCTCACATCAGTCTCACAGGAATCTCTTCACCATCACTAGATGTTTTGTCCCGGAATCTGCATCATGTACATGTATGTTATTTGTTTATGCAGACCAAGCAGATTTCTCCAGCAGAAGTATGCCAACAAATATCGATTTTTATTTTGACCTAATCAATGCTAATGGATGAATTAAAATCGGATTTAGTATCATTTAAGAAAAAATATGATCGGATACCGGTATGAACTGAAAGGTTAACAACAGAATTACCTGCATGAACAATGCATTCGTTTTCACTTAATCCAAAGTTGTGTAAGTAGTGATGTAGCATTGATATTACAGCATTTGGTCCATGTGTCCTCGATCCATTTTCCTCTGAAAGTGTAATTCAATTTCATTAATTTACATAAAAAAAGTTTATTTGAAATAGTCTAATTTTCTCACTCCGAAAAGTTGACCTTTGCGAGGAACCAGGAAGTAAAGTGGGCCCATTTGTCTGGGGTGATGAGACAAAAACATTTGCTGAGAAAAATCAAAAGTAAAGTGAACTTTAGTATACGGCTTTGAGCATGGATCTACAGGTCCATATCCTCTTGTGATGCCTTGAAGCTCTGTTACAGAATCTGCCACGTCTTGTTGGTAGGCTTGTTTTTCTCTTGTTGCCATTTGAAGATGATTTTAAAAATTCATCGTAGCCTCTAGTTTCTCTGCATCACCAACAGCCTCTCGAATAGCATTTCTATGCTTTCACACAAATGACACACATCGGTCCGTGGATTACTAATTTTGGTGTGAGATGTGTATTTCATCCATACATCCTTAAAAGCAGATAAACCCAGAGGATGTCTCCCGGTCATTCCACAATCCTCTGTATAATGCCTGTAAATTTCATCTTTTGTGTTGGAACATGGTAAGTAAACTTGAGGTTCTGGACCACCGCCCCCGGGCCCAGCCGGTTGTGGAATACCATTTTGAGTGGCGTAGTTCTGCAAGTATTAAACAACATTTGCGTTTGGGACTTTTCTGTCCTTGTTTCTATGAACCCGTGGGGTTACTCCGTGTGTTTGGACATGCTTTTGAAGACTATCTAAAGTGTGTTCTTCCACATCATATACAATCTCAAAATCAGCTCTACAGATTTGTTGACTACAAAAAGTGTACATATATCTCACTCTTTTTCGAGGACATTTAGGTTTAGGGCGAAATACGAAATCATTTAATGTTGTCATTAACATGACTTCTTTTTCAGATTTTTCTTATTCTCGTATTGAGTATATGTGATCAACCATTTCCTGTGTTGAGAAATTGTTGAGACACATTTTCACACATTTGCATCCTCTTTGGATCACACTTAATCGTTCATCATTTTCATCAGAATTGAAAAAAAAAATGTTCTGCTCGATTTTTTTTATTGATAAAGGTTCAACAACTTCAGAATCGTCAACAAAGGAAATATCTTCTACAAAATTTGATTTACGCTTTCTGCCACTTACTCCGAATGTTCGTTTATTAGTTCATCTAGCTCCTACAAAAAAAAAATCAAGCACATATAAAATATAAGTGACTCTAACAAGGTTTCGTGCATTCCAAAATGTGTTTGAAAAAAAATTCATTTATTGCATTAATCATTTAATTCTGATATTTATTATGATAAAAATATTTGTTCCAAGTACAATCCGGGGAGGGGGGGGGGGGGGTAGATGAAAATGGTTACTGAAGTCAAAATGAAATACGAGTATGTTTTTGTTTTCCGTTGCCCGATCCACCCTCGATTTAAAATGTATCTGCTTTCCCCTTTATTTTTACTTTTACATAAAAAATTATAGACGAAATTTTTTGTGGTTTGAACCAGGTAAATCAGTCAAGAACTTCTCTTGTTTTGAACTTGTTATTAAGGTCTTCCGTCTCCAACGGAAGACCTTCTACTGATTCTGTTGTTTCTTTTCCACTATTATTAAGGTCTTCCGTCTTCAGCGGAAGACCTTCTTGTTATTCTTAGGTTTCTTTTTCACTTTTATTAAGGTCTTCCGTCTTCAGCAGAAGACCTTCTTGTTATTCTTAGGTTTCTTTTTCACTTTTATTAAGGTCTTCCGTTTCCAACGGAAGACCTTATTGTTTTCGTTCTGTTTCTTTTTCCCTATTCTTATTATTTTTATTATTATTCTTACCGATTTTGTGCACGCGAGTTCTCGCAAACGGCTCGATGGATTTTCACGAAACTTTCAGATCTAATAGATATCGATCTGAACCTTATTGGAAATTTTTTGTATTGAGAACGTCACTTCCGGTCATGAGATATGTCTTATTTTCTGATTTTCATTGGGTCCGCTTGTCCTGGTAACTCCTCCTAAATGACTCGAGATATGGAGTCGAGATTTTCAGTGTAGATAAAGAAAGGATTGTAGAAGTGCCTTTTTGAGCCTTTAGCTTTTCAGCGCCAGAGGCACCAAAGCTCACCTGAGTTTAAAAAATGGCTCAAAAATATCTCACGCAATTTGACAACTTTTTGATTATATCTTCTTATCTATAAACATTTTGCTAAAACATACAGAATAAAAGTTGTTAAGAAATTTACGATCCATCATTTGATATGAAGAAAAAAGGGCTGACCCCTCATATAAGGGGCCTAGAGCGGCCAAAAGACTTTCATCTATAACTCTTTCATTATCAATTTTTTGTTATAAATTACTGAAGCAAAAGTGTTTCTCTTAACAATCTGCATCAATATATTGTAAAATTATTATCATATGTTACGTAATTAGGGGTCACAAGGGGCTGGAATACTAAAACTTTGACGCTTCATATCTTGAAAAGAGGGAATATTTTGATATTCAATATTAAACAAAAGATGGTCAAAATAATATTCTATACAATATCCCTCCTTTGAATTTTTGTAAAATGGCCCCAATAAGGACTTGTAAGGGTGGTCCCTAAATATTTCCATTCAGCATATCTCCAGAACAATAATAAATCTCTAAATAGGTTGTACAAAAAGTCTTTGAAATCACAAGACCTTTCATTTGATATCAAGAAAAAGGGGCTGATCCCTCAAATTAGGGGCTCAGAGGGGCCAGAAGTCTTTCATCTTTAACTCTTTAATGTTCAAAATTTAGTGATGCATTATAGAACCAAATATGTTCATATTAACGATTTGCAACAAAATATAATAAAATTTTGATCATATATTACGTAATTAGGGGTCACAAGGGGCCAGAATCTCAAACCTTTGACGCTTCATATCTCGAAAAGGGTGAATATTTTGATAAGCAATATTGAACAAAAGATGGCTAGATTAATGTGCTAAACAATATGCATACTTTGAATTTTTGTAAAACGGCCCCATTAAGGACTTGTAGGAGTGGCCCCTAAATATTCATATAAAGCATATCTCTTAAACGAAAAGAAATCTCTGAATAGGTGTAGAACAAAAAGTCTTTGAAATCACAAGAACTTTCGTTTGATATCAAGAAAAAGGGGCCGACTTCTCAAATTAGGGGCTCAGAGGGGCCAAGAGTCTTTCATCTTTAATTCTTTAATGATCAAAATTTAGTGATGCATTATAGAACCAAATATGTTCATATTAACGATTTGCAACAATATATTAGAAAATTTTGATCATATATTACGTAATTAGGGGTCACAAGGGGCCAGAATGTCAAATCTTTGACGCTTCATATCTCGAAAAGGGTGAATATTTTGATAAGCAATATTGAACAAAAGATGGCTAGATTAATGTGCTAAACAATATGCATACTTTGAATTTTTGTTAAACGGCCCCATAAAGGACTTGTAGGAGTGGCCCCTAAATATTTATATAAAGCATATCTCCTAAAGGAAAAGAAATCTCTGAATAGGTGTAGAACAAAAGGTCTTTGAAATC